CAGAGACCTGGTTGTTCAGCTTCCCCATACCCGCTATGAGATTCTTCTATGTGATGATGTGGAGTTCCAGCTTTCCTTCTCAAAATTCTGCCGGTTCTTCTTGCATTTTTGCCTTTGCATTCTTGCTTTGCTGCTGGTCACTGCCAGCCTTGCCACTAAACGCATCTTCCATATGTGTAGCCAAAGCTTTTGCTTTGGCTAGAATTTAAGGGGCTGCTTTGATAGCCTCAAAATGAAAAGCTTGCCGTAAGCCATAAATCCATACTAGCAAGGCCGTTTTCTCATCAAGTCCATGAACCCTATGCAACAACATTTTGTTTGTGCTACGCATGCGCACAAATCTTTCAACTTTTTTGTGATAGGTTGAAGAGCTTGGTCTTGGTGCGACTCTCCTTGATAGGGGTATCAAATTGTTCCCTCAACATCCTCCTCAACTCCTCAAGTGACTGTGGCCTTTTATTCTTATGCACGACGTACTTTGCATCCCACCAACTCGTGTGTCACCCTGTAGCAATAATATGATATAGACGATTGCTTGTTGCTCAGAACATGCCACTACATCCAAATAATCCCCCACATTCTGAACCAGTACACAAAATCCTGTCCTCGCTCTCCAATAAATATTGGTGGCTCATGTGGCCTGATATGAACTGCAAATTGCAAGGCCGTGTGGACAAGCAACACCTGTCTGTGCAGCTAAGTGAATGTCCACTAACTCTACATATCTAGCGAGTCATACTAGATATTGTTACTTGCCTGTGTCCTTGATGCGATACGATCTGCATGCTACTCTATGGATAAAACACTAGCATGAAAAGGGGACTAAGGCCATAGTTGTTCATTGTCAGCTGCCTCGGATACCAGTACAGGACCAGACAATATTCTCTAGCGTGACACTGAATCAACAGCCCCAGAACCCATCGCCTCCTCCACCTCCTACCATGGAAATACTAATGGGTCTGATATGTGAGACGTGGTTGTTCACTCACGCAGAAACAACACAAGTGCAGCGAGTAATAAAGAATGCAGAAAGGATCCCAATAATACCAGCAAAACTAATGAAGACTAAATGATGACCGACTAAAACTGGTGATTGAAAACTGTGGTAGACCGTAGGCTGACCACTCAGAGGTCCAACCCTGGGATACCCTAGAGCGTAGTCCCTACTCACTCAAAGTAAGCACTAGGATCCTCCATACAATATATCCAAGTCATTGGCATCTATACTTCCCAACTAACAATGGGTCAGAGTGGCTTCACCACAACAATTCCAGAGCAGACTTGACAACCAGTTTCTTCTTAGGTTAGCAACAGGGAATTTAAGGTTGCTCACTCCTCTGAAGAGAGCCCTCCTTACCAACATCCCCAGGAATGCCACTGGCTGATCAGAGTTGAGCCTTCCCTGTCTCCCGTGCCTAGGAAGGACTACACAAGGAACAGCCACACAACTGCCTCACCGCCAAGCCCACCCCACAGCCGACACCTCACGTATGGTGGTGCCATCGCCGCCACATATACCGGACTGTTGTTGTATGCCCTAGTAGCAGTAGGGGTGTCTGCGTGCACTAGGGAAAAAGGGGCCAAATAGCACGTGTTCAAACGTGTCCGAAGTTTATGGGTTTGTGTTATTTTTGTGTTCTCAGCGTGCAGAACTTTGATGGAATGTGTTTTATGCGTGTTCGAAAAAGTGTTATTTGGCCCTTTTTTTGCTAGTGGTGACTACCAAAAGGTCACTCCCCTACTGTCCTGCTATAAAAGGTGGTAGCATCAAGAGCTTCCTTCCGGACCGCCATCCCAAGGGCTATGTAACAGACAACTTGTTGGTGCCCCGTCTACCCAACCTTACTTGCACCTCCCTACACAGCTGTGGGGTGGGCGCCGGCTTCAAATTGGGGTCAACCTTTGTTCTGGATGAGGTCTACTACCACCAGGCGAGCCTAACCCTTCACATTTGTCTAGATTGGCCCAGCGCAAAACTCCTTGGCTCAGTCCTTCGCCCCCCGACCTCTTGACCAATTGTCCTATTGGAGTGGGACAGCCCCTAACTAACACTGGCCCACTCGGAGGGCCATAGGCATTGTGCTCTGGCACCCTAATGGCTTGTAGAGGTAGTCAGCTCTAGACTCTGCAAAGCTGTTATCCACCTACTGAGAGGGTCAAGTATACCTGTGCAAGCTGCAAGGCCTCCTCCCTGCTTGCATTTTCCCACCTGCTTTTTCTTCGGCCCGCCAAGTTCAACACATCAGCTGGGCATATGGTATGGGGCTCTTGCGTCACCATGGCTGTTCATTGGCCGTGCGACTCAATCACCAGGTATTGCTCTGATTTTCCAACGTGGAGCTCCTCAGCATGTCTCCTTGGACCAGTGGGTCAGCTTTTTCCGCACGTGAATGGGTTTCTGAGCCGTACCGGGCGGCTTGGGGCGTGACTGGTGGAGCCCCAGTAGTTTACGATGGATGGCGTCTCCCTGGTGCTTCGATGGAACTGCGCGGGTTTCTGTGCATTACTTGCAGCATTTGGTGATGCATTTGGGCTGTTGTGGCTACGCTGACAAGTCGCTGTGGCTTCTCAACACACATATTTCCCACTGTGACGTTGTCCAGGTGGCGAGAAGGTGGTGTCGTTGCTGCTCTGAGCCATCCTGGGTTAGTTGCCACTGGTTCTGGTGTCGAAGTGCGAGCATAATGAATCGGTTTCATCTATGCTGTGTGAGCTTCATCCAAGATTGGATTTGGCGGCTGATGAAGTGTTGGGTCCGCTGGTTGTCATTGGCAGCGCCGCTGGATAGTTGGGCGGGTGGACAGCTGTGGGTTTGTTTCAGAAGTGGTGACAGCTGGAATATGTGAAAGGATTGATTGGAAAGTGTGAACGATGCACGATGTGTGGTTTGGCGTGCAAAAATCGGACACTTGGACATTGTAACAGATCCTTGTTGGTGGCTTAGTTCCGTGCTCCGAGTGCTGCAAGGCCACGTTCTGTACCGCCTGACACATCGCAGGCCCCCAAGGCTGAAGGCGTGGCTCCCTTAAGGCTGCGCGGCAGGGGATATCCACTTGCAAGCGTCTGGATGTGGGCCCCGAACGTGGGGCATGTCCACATGCCGGCATGTGAAGAGCTCCACGTTCTTTATTCCTACCAGCGCGGATGCCTTACCAAGGCGCTGTGTGAAGGGTCGGCACGCCCTGTAAAGGCTGCACGATTGCGGGCGGAGGACCTCGTGCGCCGGCGAGGGTGTTGGCGCAACGTGGGTCGGCAGGGAGCGACAGGAGGCTAAACCTCCATTTCGGAGGGCGTGTTACATGGTGCGTCGAAGGAGTCGCAAACTGCGGACGGGACTGCTTTGACGTGGAGGCAGTGCGGGGTCCACAGCGAGTTCAGGGTACGAACAACGGCCGAAAGGTGGCGATTGCCGCTGCCGCTTCTCTGGCTGGCTCCGGAAGGGAATCGCCCGTCATTCTGCACGTGATGAGGCGTGTCTTGCAACAGAGCCTGGTGGGGCACCAGCTGAGCGTTGCTAAATATGCTATGTTTATTGTACCAGATTTTCATCATCAACTGGCGCCGCCACCATTGGTTGATTAATCAGTTGGCTGGGTCGCCAATTTGTCTCTTCACACCGGCATTGGGCCTCACGAGGTGCCAGGCTCATCAACGTCAGCAACATTAGTACTTGCAACAAGAAACATTTAGTTCCTAAATGGTTTTCTTTGGGAAAATGAGGTCCAACGCCACCTATACCAGAGCGCTTGATTCCACCAATTTTCCCTGGAAACACCTGACAAACTCTCGAGTCTCCCTGGCAGGCATCCCGACAGGCACAGAGGGCACGCGCACATGCCCATGTGAATGCGAGAACTCAGGTAAACGCACACACCGGTGGATGATGCGAGAGCCGCAGCCCATACTCCATTAAATTACACGTGATCAGTTCGAACATTGTTGCTTGGAGTCCGGCGACACTCTCTGCGGCAGCCTGTAACTATAGCCGCCCGCCGCCTGACGGCGGGCCAACCGATCAATGTACAATCAACGCCACACCCCGGCGCCCACCGCGCAAACCGATGCGCCATACTCTCTCGTTTCATATGCGATTATTTAGGACCGGCGTCGGGCCCTTAGGCCCCGCCCCGCGCGGCCCCACCAGTGGTAGTGATAATACTCCGTCATTAAAAAAACATGCTCAGGAGCGACGTATGGCCGACGTGCCCAAGTCTGCCTCGTTTTCGCACGCCATAATTTCTCGTCCACGGGCCGACGAGCGCAAATTAGTCATACAACCGGCCCCCTCCGCCCGCCAATTTCCAACTTCGAATTCCGACCGTGTTCTCAGTCACGAGTTCCTCGCCGCCGCCATCCCCCTCCCCATGCGGAGGGCCAAAGAGATCTACCCAGTCCGAGCGAACCAAAAAAAGCGACCACTTCTGTGAACAAAAATGGGTGAGAAGCATGCACGCCCAGGCACGTTGTTGGTCGTTCTCGCGCAGCCCTGACCGGCTCTTCAAGGACGACAGTTGCTGTGCCCGCAAGCGAGGTCATCACCCAGTGGGCGGCTTGCTGCCTGGCCAAGGAGAGGCACAAGTCAGGGACGTGAGTTGACACCGCCAGCAAGTCGGCGCTGTCATGCACCAGACAAGTTCGCCTACAGCTGCCAGATTAGTTTCTGTTGTGCGTCAGATGCGTCATATCAACACGTTCGCCACAAGCACATTGTCGCGCAGTTAGTTACAGTTTGGCTCTGGCGGAGGCCCACAGGGCAGTGCTTTGTCTGCATTCGTACCACACGCATCCACCCTATTCAACGGTGCCCACACACACTGCATACCTAAAACAATAGCATTCACTGGCACATACCAACGAGCGTAACCGCACACTTTGAACAGCCTCGACGAATATCTCATCATATGTCTACTCATATATCTACTCGTACATCTACTCATACATGTGCTCATATATCTACTCAATAGATCTACTCATACAGTTGATCACCCTGTCAGCTGCTCTCATAGGGCATTTCCTACTACTACCCATGTCGTTCCTACTTTCTGCTTGTTGCACCTCTTTCCCCCCCCCCCACCCACCCACACAAAAAAGCTGCACCCCATCCCCTCACCTGACGTCGGCCGCATCGTCTGTGGCTGCAGCCTCTGCATTTCCCTCCTGAACTTCGAGTCCGCTGTCATCACCGACTGGTTGAACCTCGAGCCCGTGCCCGGGTCCCGGTCCACCGCCGCGAACCTGCTGCCGCTGCTTGTGCCTGCGGGCCCTTCGGGCCCCGTCTCCCTCGGCGATTGCGCCCGGCTCATGCGCGGAGGCTCCCGCTCCGGGGCCGGCCTCTCCGGCCTCTTCAGCGCTGCGCGCTCCGCGGAGCCGCCATCATGGGTCCCCCTGGATCTACCCGTGTCGTTGCCTTCAGGTATGCCGCCCAACCCTCCCCTGGCGACGGCCGGCTGTGCTTCCGCGATCCCCGGCAGCCCTCGTGGCATCGGCGACGGGCCGCGTGGCTGAGGTTGGGCGGGGGCCGGCGACCTTGGCTTGGCGGGGGACTGCACGGATTGCATGCTCCCGCCGCTGACCTTGGAGATGCTGTTGGCGGTGAGCTGGGAGGGGCGCATAGAGAGGTTGGCCAGGGAGGTGCGGCGGATGCCGGCGGAGGAGCGGGGGCCCACGGAGGGGTTGGAGGACTTCATGCCCAGGCGGCTGGGCCTCGCGTTCTCGGGCACCTTGAGGATCTTGACGTCCGTGGTGCAGAGGTGCATGGCGCCGCTGGGAGAGAGGGGCGCGGGCGCGGGGATGGGACGCTGGCGGCCGCCGTCGTTGTTGATCTCGACCATCTCGCCGGAGGCCAGGTACCAGTTGCCGTCGACCTTGAGGCGGTCGCCAGGCATGTGGGTGAGCAGCTCGGAGCGCCTACAAAGGGGAAGCAAGCAGCCATTATTATCCCTTCGTTGTTCCTTGATCATCCCCTTGTTCTCCCTCTATCATCACCTTTTTGTCCCTTATCCTTTTTAATATCCCTAGCATCCCAACTATTAGCTGAATGCTGGACTGGATTGACTGGACAGGACAGGACAGGATTGGACTGGAACAGAGTGTTCTGTTGCAGTTTAGCAGTGCATTCAGATGTGACACACTTGTGTCTTGACTGCAGTTATCAAGAGCGCCTTTGTAAAATCGACTTGAAACATCAGCAGCAGCTCATTCCAACCAATGCAACCTATCCAAGCACTGCCTGAATCCAGACAGCGTCTCACACACACACACGGCCAAAAGGCACATATTGTATCGGATGTCTTTTCCTCTCAAGGATGCATTCACACTAATGATCACATGAACACACGCACACAACATTCATTCTCCGGGGCTTCTTTTCTTTTGGGTATGTGGGCCGCCTAACTTGAGACAGACATTGCCTGAGATGCATGTTATGCTGTTGAAACTGAGTCTCAGACATTGTAACATTTGTTGTTCATGTGTCATTTTCAGGAAGCTTGATTGCTTGCTGCACACACTCACCAAAACACAGACTGCAGCTCACTGAGCGAGGCACCCTTGAAGGCGCCCCATGGGTGCTGCAGTGTCTGGAAGGCTCCGGCCATCTGCCAGGCCCTGCGTCGTACGCTCTCGTGGATACGCGCAAGGTTCAGGAATTCCACAGCGTCGATGTGGTACACCTGGACAACGGTCTCGGCCGTGAAGCTGCGTGAGCGCCGCTGCCTCAGCATCACCTCACTGATACCCACCATTGCACCTGCACCAGACCCACATGTGCGAGTCACATATTGAGTTCTTTTCTATTCAAACATATTACACCACATTTCAGTGTCCAAGTGCCTCCCCCGTCCACGATATGTGGGCCTTTGCCACCGAGCAAGCATGTGCAAGGCGACGCAAAATTCCCAAACTGTTCGAACCTAAAAGAAAGCTCCATCTCAAGAAAGAGACAAGCACACTACGGGGGAGTCGTGGCAAATCAGCAATCGGAGTAAATCGCATTGTCTCTATGTTTGTTCTAATGAACAGAGACGAGACACACATTGCATTCACCTGGCAGGATTGGCAGCACTGACTTCCAAGTTAACCCACACTGGCACTCAGTGACCACGCATTGAGCATGCCAAGATGCCTGTTTATACCAACGCGACATCATGCATCCCATCTTTGGCTCAAACTGAACAATTTCCGGAGCGGGTGATTCCGCCGATTTGGCTTTGACAGCACAAACCCATGATGGCGGGAAGGTGCCAATAGTCTCATATTTGTGCTTGTGCAGGGCAGCGTCAACACAGCAGCAGTTGCCTCATGCACCGAGCTGACAAGTGTTCTCGACAAGAATTAACCAAGCCCTCCTTCGCTCTCAGCAAGAATGGACCAAGCCCCCTGTCAGCACAGCGCACCCACCCACCACCACCAGTTGCCAACTGGCTTGCAGGATGGCCTTCCAGAACAAAAGGCATGGCCACAAAGCATGCCTTCTCTCAAATGCGATTCATGCAGCGCGCTTCGAGCAGTGCCATTTGCACAGACAAGCCAAAACTTCTCCAGGAAGCAGAAGCCGCCAATGCAAAGATACAGAAAAGCTTTCCCAGCTCCCTTCACAATAAATTACAAATGCGCAACATAAATGCACAACAGAAAGAAAACATTCTCCTCGACAACACAAGAGTGCTTCAAAGTGCCATAAATGCTCCTTTGATGGAAGTTTCTTTTCTATTGCTTTGCAGGCAATCACCTGTGCTCTCCTGATAGGTTCCCCTTTCGACACCCGGGGACTCCACCCTCACGATCCCACGCACGATCAGGGACATGCTGTGAGCCTCCTCACCAAGCTCGAATATCGTCTGTGGTCAAGCACACAGCCAAAAAAACGCATTTGAGTAAAAGTAAAACATGAACCAGTATATAGCAGTACTTGCTTCTACCACCTTTGTCCACATGTTATTTAAAATGTTTTAACTCATGGCCATGATGCTCAGCTCATGGTCAAATGGCCAGCCTGTCCAACATGATGATCACCACAATCACAAACACAATCACAATCACAATCACAATCACAATCAGGTCGGAAACTGCAATCTAAGAGTACATGAGTGGAAGAAATGAAGTCCACGGTGGCACCCTCCCCACCCCTCACCCCACCCCACCTGGTCCTTGTCGTAGACCTTGAGCTTGGCATGTGGCCATACTGTGGTCTCAAAGATGTGATGGTCCATCTCGTAGAACACGGGGTGGGTCTTCAGCATCACCTGGCAGCACACAACCAAACGACCCTTGCGACATGCAAACCCATCACAGGTCTCCATGCAAAATACCGCTGTTGTGCTAGTAAACGTACTGTACAATACACACACACTGTATGGTGGTACCAGTATGCATACAGTACGGTACATACGTACTGTAGTATTTAACAAAACAGCATTGCTTTCCTCTGTCCGCGCACTGCAGGCTTCAATGCAGAACAACAGTTCAACACAAAGAATAGCTTCTTCTTGAATCTCTGGTACGTTATCCCACGTCCACCACATTATTACCATCACTAAAAGTTAGGCAGCAGTTGCACAAAGTACACAGTACATTGCCACATTCTGGGCCCATACGACAGCCAACATGCGACAAGCCCACTACTTGTATCTCTGGTAGTCGCACAACAAACTGTACTACTTATCATTGCTTGCTCTTGCTCACTGTTGCTAGAGACTCTAGCAGCCACGCATCATGCACAGTGCAATGACACGTACTGCCCACATGTGCGTGTCGTGCATGGCTGCTGACGTGGCTGCCAATGCATCAGCGCATCGGCAGGGAAGGGAGTTTTGAATGCTGGTTGGTTGCAAGGAAAACTCGCCCCCTGACAGGCTTTGACACTTGGGCATGGACACTACCACGGTGTTCGCATGCGCTGGCAACCTCAACAGCAACAACAGCATCGGCACACAAGGGGGAGTATCATAGTGCAACACATTTGGAAATCAAAAAAAAAAGCACGCATGGGGGAGTATCGTAGTGTGGTACATTTGGAATTTCCAAAAAAAACAACATAAGCACACGTGGGGAGTATCATAGTGTAATACATTTGGAATTCACAAAAAAAGGCAAGATAAGCACACGTGGGGAGTATCGTAGTGGAATACATTTGGAATTCAAAAGAAAAAAACGTCAGCACACGTGGCGAAGTATCCTAGTGTAGTACACTTGGAATTCAAAAAAAAGCATCAGCACACCAGCCCCACCTTGGGCTCTGCAAGCTCGACCCTTGGAGGGTTGTGCATGAGCTTCTTGATGGTGGCCTCGATGAGCAGTTCGAGGGCCGTGGCCTCCTTGGCCTCGATCAGGCCCGAGCCCCCCAGCTTCTGGACGTACTCCTGCTTCATCCGCAGGATCTCCCACGCCGCCAGCTTGCTCTTGATCGCACGTGCGACCTCCGGGTAGGCGCGGCGCAAGTTCCTGCGTTTAAAATGGAGGCAAATGAGGCAGAATGATGCACACGAGGTAAACGAGATAAATGCAATGGATGATGACGATTGCATGCGTTAACTGAATGCATGCAACCGCAGAGAAATTGCATAAGATCTTGCATGTGTGTGTAGCTTTTGAATGCAAGCATAATGGCTCCTGCAATTGATGCATCATTGCAGTTGACAGCATCCGTTCTGCTGTGGAAATGCAGCTGTGGAAAATAGGAAAGCTCTACAGCTAGGTATGGAGATGAGCGACTTGTCCATTATTTGGGTGTCACAGCACGCAAGACTGCATTCCACACAGGAAGCAACAACAAGGGACAGTACAGAAAAGCCTGCCACAGTGCAGCGGTACACACAATACTGCATCAAACTACTACATCATTGTAAAGGTCGGAACTCTCCGTGTGTCCACACAAGCGGTCCTTAGTTAATGCATCGTTGGCCTAATAAGCGTATGGGCGATTGCTGCAGGGCTGCCAGGCTATGCTGGAGGTCAATGTACAGCACAACATGCGCAAGCACGCCAAACTACAGTACAATGACATTTTTTGTGCATCGCATTTTCGTCAAGCGACTCACTTGACGAACTCAACCGCCTGCAGCGCAGCAGTACACAAACTACCACATTAACGTACAGCAAGACATGTACAAGTAGACTGTAGTAAAGTACAGGAAGTTCCTCTGTACAAGGCAACTCTGTTAAGGGACTCACTTGACAAACTCCACTGCCTGTTCGCTCTCCTGCCGGCTCTCCTCGAGCACCATCGCCGAGGCTTCCTCCACAAGCCGCGTGGCATCGTCCTGGACGCCGTTCTCAGCCTGTTCCTGTTTGATGAACTGCAAGAGCACAAGACACACACAGATGCACTATCAGTCAACAATCACCTGTTGGGGCCATGGAATTATGCCCCAAACCATTCACAATGGATCCGTGAGTGTCTTACCTGTTGGGGACCTTGTCACACCCTGGGGGCATGATAGATGCTCAGATGTTACTCTTGACTGTGAAACATTTTCTGAAGCAATGAATCAAATGAACGAACAACCGAACAATGTATCAACGAATCAAGACTGTGAAGACAGAGTTGGTGCAGTGGCAAGCAAGTATGTCTAACTATCATGGACAGTCCTCCCTGCTCACAGCTGTTGGTATTCACTAGTTTTGTACTGGATGGCTGATCGCATCGCGGTGTACACACAATGGCACAACGATTTTCTGGGACGGAGGAGACGCACAAGTACACAACATCGTGAACTGACAACTAAGGCATACACAATTAACAAATTTTCATAAGTATACTAATAAATGCACAGTCAAGGAACACACAAGAATATGCACCACAACTAACCAACGATCAGTACAGCTCAACACATGTGTGAAGTGTATTGTCATGCGGGAATCTGCAGACTGAGATCTCCAGCTACTGTACCTGAATGTATTCATGCAGGCTGTGCGTGGCTTCCTCGTGAGCATGGATAAAGTTCCTGGCAATGATCGCGGAGGTCTCCAGAGAAGTGAACAGCATGCGCTGCAGGGTCTTCTCGAAGCCCCGCAGCAGCATGTTGACGACTCTGCGCCACCACGAGGCGGACAAGGAGTTCTCCAGATAGTACCAATCGGACAAGGGCTCGCTGACTGAGTCAAGACCCTGTGGCGAAAGCCAACAAAGTCAATGCAGACAAAGCACATGGGCATGCAAAGCAAAGTAAGAAACAAAAATTCAAGTACAGTTAAAGTACAGTGTCAACACAGAAACGCCATTAGGCTGACACAGCACGCGCAAATCGTGCTTCATCATTCTTGCATTAACGATGCGAAATACCACTTCTCAACTGTGTCTGAGCACCCAAACATGGTCAAATACTGCTGACTAGCAGCAATGTTCTGCCCACTGCCCAGCAACCCCAACACACGCTACAGCTCATGCTAAACCGCAAATGTGGAACAGCAGGGATTAAGATGCCTCAGCATGAAAGCAGTGAAACATGCTGACACACACATTCTCCTCGCCAGCTGGGTGACAATGCCCGTCTTGTCAAGTGGTAACAAGTATGTAATCGACGGAACAGTAAATTCTCCTTCTCGTCGTTGTGTGACCTGTGTTTTGAGGGATTTCAACAACACCTTGATACACAACTCGTCGCTGCGGAACAGCACGGATGGAGATGCCCCAACATCAACGTATTGAAACACACACACACACACACTCTCTCGTTGTCGTCACTGTGGAATCTGTGTTCTGGCCAGTTTACCACATCCTGATGCATACCTCATCAGCATTTTCTCTACCTTTTTTTAATACAGGGCGTTTAAGCGCATGTTTTCTTGCCCATTGTAATCCTTTGCATTGTGCGCTCATGACTTCGAATAGGAGACTCCATATCATCTATAGCATGGAACAGAGTCTCGCACATACTTGCATAGGAGGTGTGCCCTTTGTATGACCCATTCCTTCTATCTTGCGACAAATCTCAGCTCCTTCCATTTCTCTTTCGTGAGACTGGGCATTCTTTTGCTTTCAAACAATCTGGGCGCTTCACATCGCCTTGCACGCTTCTGCTCCGTGCCAGGCTCAAAATATCTTGCGATAGCATGGGGGAGCCACCTGGACGCTGAAATGTGATTCAACATTTTGGAATCCAAAAATAAATAAACAAAGGATTGATCAACTAATTAAAATCGAATCTCACCTCGTCTGCGCTCTCCTTCAGGTATGCAAAGTGCTCTGCGCTGATCTCCCCTTCCTCGATCAGCTCCCCGTACACCGACTTGATGCCTGTCAGCAGCCGCGTGCGGAAGTCCATCACCAGCATGTCCTTCGTCACCACAGACGACATTCCCGCGATGTCACTGACCATGGTGACCTTGTCCACGGCCGGCGCCGCCGGCTTGGGCCCGCCCAGGTAGCGCGCGACTGAGAGGCGGCCCAGCCGCGGGGTCGTGCCGTACGCCAGGCTGTTCTGGTTGAGGTGGTTCTGGAGCTCAAGGGCCACAGGGTTGTTGCGCTGCTTTGCATCTGTGGATTCACAAACTTAGTTTGAATACCATATCATTGTTGCTACTATCATCACTACTATCGCTATGCGCTACCATACACTATACCACACGCATGCTATATGCTATACTACAAACATACTACATGCTCTACTATGCACTACTACACACTACCGTCATCTCTATCACTATTATCATTGTGAGGGCGCAAAAGTTAAGCATGTCGTTATAAGGGGAATGGTGTTGAAAATAATATGGTGTGGCTGAGTGCGGGGAACAAGCTGCTGAAGTGTGGCGAAAACCAGGCTCCTCACACGGTCGTTCCCAGGCACGGGAAGCAAAGCCACAACCAGATACGTCACAGGACAAGCACACCAATCAAATAGCACTCACTGTAAATGTTCTCAGTAAGTAACCACCATATCTCCATATTCATTTCACCAAAACACACTTGCCACGTGTTGCACGTTACAACTTCACGCATCAAAACCACAGAAGCACCCACCCATCATGACGCTGATTATTTCCCTGTCTGAAGGGATGATCGAGCTGACGTCGAGTGACGTGATCCGCAGCACCAGATTCCAATCCGGGTCGCCCAGAAGGTGGTCTGGCTCCGCCTCGCTCAGCTCGTGCGACCCGATGTTCTCGATGCTCTGCAGGGCATGACATCAACACACAACGTGACCCCAAAGTACGCGAGCGACCACAACAACTGCCAATGTACTCAGAGAGAGCTTTGCAATAATTTGTGATCCCTTTTTACCATTCATATCCGTTTTATTGAACTGGGATTCCTTTTATTAAAGTCTTTACATTACTCGGCATGCCCCATCCGTCACGTGTCCAGATTATTCCGAGTGCTGACAGGAAAAATGGGCTGAACTCGACTAAAATGCCAAAGCATGGTGTAGTACAACATAGTACAGTACAGTACAGTGTAGTACAGTGCAGTACTGTGTGGTACAGTATAGTACTGCATAGTACAGTATAATATTGTATAGTACAGTATAGTTAAGTATAGTACAGTACGGCCCTGAAGTACAGTGAAGAACAGAAGTATCAAATTCGCGGCGCTTCTACCAAATTGGCCGCCCCCCATGAAGTCCAAGGGACGAATGTCCATTGCCAAAAACCCAACACTAAACAACACTCCCAAAAAATGCTCTACTACTGCAACACCTTGTTCGAAATCAACCAACACAACATTAGAACACATAAGCGCAGCGAGATGCACACATAAAAGCATATACGAGAACAGCAACACAAAAGATGAAAAACATAATGCGCCCTAATGGAGACACTTCACAGCAGAATAATAACAAAAAAGGATGCAAACTACCACATGCCCCAATGCATACAAGTACTTAACACCAGCATGCTAGGATACGAGATACGGTATACTTCGACGAAAGCACGATGAAGTACGAAGAAGTACCACTGGTGGTAAAGTACAGTAACACTAGCGGAAATGGTCACTTCTGGGACACCAATTAACAACAAATGACAGTCGTCGGACTCTTCCTCTCAGGAAGAGTCCCCCTGGCGTCCCAGTAAGCGTCATTTAAGGTCAATTGGCGTCCCAGAAATGGCCATTTCCACTTCTGTAAAATGTAAGTAGGAAGAAAGAGGACCCGGCGCTCACCTTGACCACATGGAGCAGCACCTCCAGCTTCTCGGGCTTCGTCTTGGTCACGCCCAGGTAGTCCAGGAACCGCGACATGGAGGTGCCATTTACCAGCAGCGTGTACGCCGCGATGAGCCCCATGTAGAAAATCGTCAGTGCCCTGAACTTCGGGTCGATTCTCTCCTCATCAAGGTCGACGATGAGCGCCAGCGCCAGGCCCACAGCGCCGCGCAGGCCACCCCATGTCATGACAAGGACGTCCTTCCAGCTGACGGCGTAGCCGCTCAGCATGATAAAGGGGTACAGCATGATGATGGTGAGCAGGCGGATGAGCTGCAGGAAGAGGTACAGCAGTATGGACAGGCCCCAGTCACCCTTGTTTATGAATCCGGCCTCAATGTCGCCACTGTCAACCTGGATGCACCACAGGCACCACACAGTGTTCAGCAGACTCACTCACTTCTTCGCTTTGTCTTATTTTAGTTGTGCTTCATGAATCTAGCCCTAGTATTGCCCATGTCAACATAAATGTACCACAGGCATCACACAGCGTTCAGCAAATTTATTCCCTATTTCTCCTTGTGTTATTTTAGTAGTGCTTTATGAATCCAGCCTCAATGTTGCCCTTGTCAACTACTGAGATGTACCACAGGCATCACGCAGCATTCAGCAAAATTCTCTTTCTGTCTTTATTTCTATTTTGTGGTATTTTCGCATTGCTTGTTGATCCTAGATATCGAAAAGAACACGCAAGGGCCAAATTGCCGGCAACAAGAAACCAAGTCAATCTCAGGGACTCATCCAATCGACTGTCCATTGTCGTATTTGCATGAACGACAAGTCAAACAGAACTATTGCACGACTTCATTTTGCCAATTGGCCCTGGTACCCACTCTGCTGCAAGGACATTCAAGGTGAAGCAAATCAACACACTTAACACATTTGAATGAATCAATACGATTTGTACATTCATCGCATCAACATTCGAAAGGGCCTGCCGCATCCAACGATCACAAAACTCAGATGCAATTCATATGCGCTGCAACAACATCATCTCAGATGCGATGTTGCATGTCAAAGAAAAAACGAAAAAAAAGGACACGGACAGTGAAAAGAGAAAGCAAACGAAAAGTAAAAAGACACCCACATCAATCTCGACTTCGTAGATCTTCTTGGCGATCTCCACGCCGGCATAAATAAAGATGGTGCTGTTGGCGAAGTACTCCATGAGCTCCCAGAACACCTCCATGGGCTCGTGGGCCTTAGGGGACAGCCGTGGCCTGGCCATCACTGCCATGGTAATGCCCAGGGCCACGGTGGCCAGCACACCAGAGACCTGGACGGCGCGAATGGATCAAATGCTTGCCTCCTTTCCAGTTTCAATTTGAATTTCAAAGTTTGAAATCCGAATTTAGAACTCCGAATTTTGAGCTCCGAATTTTGAATTCCGAATTTCGGGTCAGAGCATGTGTGCAAATAAGGTCCAGAGAAAGCATGATAAGGTGTGAGAAGGCATGAGAAGGCATGAGAAGGCTTGAATAGGCATGACAGCGCACAAGAAGGCATCAGGCACTTTTGAGGCAAAGGTCGCACCAATGCAATGCTGCATCCCCTCCATATGCGTTCCAAAATCGCGCCACACGCACCCCCACAAGGTCGTCCGCCGTGAAGTATGTTAGGTACGCCGTCACGATCGTGATCGCCACCTCGACCACCAGGTCGTTGTACACGTAGTTAATCCACATCGATGCCGCAAACCCAAAGGCCGCCCCGAGCGCAGGGGCACCGATGGCCATCCGCAAGAAGAACACCAGCGTCTCCCCGAAGGTACGGTGGGGGAAGCTGCAGACCGGCGTGAAGGGCTGCTTGAAGTCTGGGTCCTCCTCGAAGGTGGGCACGCCCTCACAGTCCGCGCGGTCGTCCTCGTGGAGGCGCTCGAACTCGGGGTGGCGGCACTTGCACAGGTGCTGCAGGCCCTCGCGCATGCGGTCGGCGCCATGGCACTCACCAGTGTTGCAGGACGTGGTCCAGCGGATGAGGTCCTGGGAAGGGGGAAGGAGGGATCGTCGGCGACAGACATTACCTGATGCTCATTCTCTGTGTGGATCTCATTCTCCATTTGACTGAAACTATGCGATGCTAATTCCTATTCCTGTGTTCCTATTCCTATTCCTACATTGCTGGATGCTGTGAATGATGCATTTGTGCAAGTAACATTCACAAGGCCATGAATAAAACACGTCTTCCTTGAAGAAAACGAATTCGGGAGAGCCTCCCGAACGCCTCCCGCGCCTCCCATTGCCTGGCAACAATGCTGTTGGCAGACTCTCGTGGCCAAAACGCCAAGGAACAAACCCGTGCTGCGCTCCCCACTGCGTACCCCAGGCACACTATATGCAACATATACCTGGACTGTGCACTTACCCTGAATACGAGAAAGAACACGAAGGCTGTTCCGTCGTTCAGCAGGGACTCACCCTCGATCACAGTTCCCAACGTCTCTGAGGCGCCCACCTGCAGCAACGGCCTTGCGCACATCAGACCCAGCTCCACAATCGTTTGAGTGGCTCACAAAACTAGTTCCACCAGAGACCCCATCAAACTCCTCGAACCACTGCAACTCTGAAGTCATCAACTTCGTCAAACCGCGTTAACAACATCATCAACTTCGTCCAACAACCCCATCGCTCCGAAGGTTTGAATGCTGCCAAGAATGTGGGGCGCTTCACAGCGGCTTGACATCTCACACTATCCACTCAACGAACTGTATGACCAACACCTGCTGATGCTGTCCTGACTGCAGGTATGCACTTGCTGCGTGGTGAGGATGAAAAAGAAGGCACTGAAGCTGGCCTGCCTAGGCAATCTCCCATGAACTGGCACCCACCGAGCCCCCCAACATCGAACCACAATGCAGTTCCACCGTGGCCACAGTGCCCCTTGAGCAGGGTGATTTCAACAGCTTGAGCAGTTTCAACGATGATGCAAGTTCAAAGGATTTCACAGCTTTTGGTGACTTTAGTGGTAAATTCACTGACAATTGTAGCGGATGAAGCAAAGGCAGCTGCTCGGTCCACCCTTCATCCCCATGCCATTGACCAGGCAAGAGGTCGTCTCAGAAAAGCAGATGAATGCTAGGTGAATCGCACTAGCTGAAATTCCAGCGGATTCGCAGCATTGGGTCCGCCAGGTGTCATTGAAAAAACCCATACATAGTACAATCATCCCATAAACATTGTCCCATATTATATCCCATACATGCGTCTTCCACACAGTATCACACACACATTCCCACACAGGAAACAGAAACCATGGTCAGCACACATCACCTAAAAGGCGGGAAGGGGCGCTGCTTGGGTTCTGCACCCACATGAGCAATCCAAGGCAAGCAAGGCCAATGCCCCTGTTGGGTTGTACCATGGCAGGGAAACAGAGCGCCTCAAGAAACCTCCACCAATCGCACTGTCACACGTGATGGCAGGTCAACCAAAACGCGGGCCCAAGATGGATCAAAGATGCGTCAATGCGGTCAACAATGGGTCAAACAATGGGCAAGGGAAACACGCAAAGAAACCGCCAGCAATAACACTGTCGTGCAGGATGGTCGGTCAACCAACGCGGGTCCAGAATGGGTCAACGCGGTCGACGTTGGGTCAACGTTGGTCAACAAACAAAAGCAAGGAAAACACGCAAGGGCAACGCACCTCCTTGAGCAGCGCCACAACGGCCACCGGGTCCGTGGCGCTGAGCATGGCGCCGAACATGAGCGCCTTCGGCCAGCACCAGCCGTAGGGGAAGATGAACTTGCCCACGACGGCCGTGAACCCGGTGCCGATGGCCACCCCCGGCCCAGCCAGGAGGAGGATCTGCCCGCAGCGGAAGTCAACTGATAGTCAACGAAAAGTCAACAAAACGTCCACGGAAAGTCAACGAAAAATTCATCAAGAAATCAAGGGCAGGATGGCGCGTGGGTGGGAATCGGTTTCAGAGGGCGCCGATGCTGGAATGGGGTTGTTTCGGAGGATGAGAGCGTCCATACGAAAGGGGTTCGAAGGGAGGCATGAGCAGCCGGTAGGGCTGGTTCCCAGCTCGAAAGGCAAACGAGAGAAAAGGAGAATGCGAACGGAAGAACGAATCCTCCTCACGTGGGCCGCGGAGGGGGCCGCACAACCAAAGGCCGCGGGAACGCCGGCCTTTCACCCCTCGGCCGCGCATGCACAGGGCGGCGGGGTGCGTCTGTTATGACAATCCCGATCCACTCTTTCCAATTCCGATCCATTCTTTCCAATCCCTCCGGGAGTCCCAATGCGCACCACGAGAGGCGCGCGGGGGGCGATGCGGGCGCGTCGCCGGGCCCTCACCTGCCAGAAGTTGCGCTTGAAGATGTGGAAGTCCATGGAGAAGCCGCTAGCAAAGATGAGCGCCGGGAGGTGCACCAGCAGCAGCAGCTCAGGGCTGATGTTCTGCGGCCGCGAACTCATCGAGTCAGACACGCGGGCCATGGGGCCAGCGGCGGCGCCCCGCGGCCGCCGACAGAGACCACACCCGACCCCACACCCCGCGTCCGAAACCCACAACCATCACCAACTCCCCCCATCGCCCCGGCGGCTCGGCGGTGGTTCAACCATTCCAGCCATCGACTCAACGCCGCCGCGCTGACCACATGCACCGCGGCAATGCCCCCGCGCCGCGCCGCGCCCAAAACTTCTTCCCCAGCATTCCCCCACCGGGTGCGCAGCTCCGCGGATTCCCAAGGCCCCGTCGTCCTTCCCCTTCCCCCCCCTCCCCCCCCCCCTTCCATCCCCCACCCACCGTCCAAGCCTCCATTCCCCGCCCCAGGTGCTCGTAGGCCTTGGGCAACTCGTACTCAACCTCAACCCGGACCTCCCCGCCCGCCTCCTCGACATCGACCTCTTCTGGCGCCACCGTCGAATTCGACCCCTCCAGGGCCTCCAGCGCCTCCCGCTCCAGCCGCTTCTCCTCCTTCTCCCGGGCGTTGGTCTCCACTATGGACCCCGCCAGCCCCAAGACAAGCCCGGCAAGCTGCAGCACACCCAAAGATTCTCACCCCCCAAGATTTTCCCCCCGCAGCCCGCCATTCCGTCCCCAGCCCATCGCGCGCTGGACTCACCAGGAGCAGGCCCGTGTATGGCACGGGCACCTTGGCCAGCACGTGGCGCGTGAAGAGCCCAATGAACAGCATGAAGAACGTGAACAGCACCACATCCGCGGCGCCATCCTCCTCCTCGCACTGCAGGAACTCCAATTCGTTCACGACCGCGCTGCTGAGCCCCTCTCCTCCCGCCTCCGCCATTTTTTCGGCGCTTGCCTTTCGGTTTTCCTTTCCGGGGTGCCCGGGTCCAGCGGGGTCCTGTGGCAGGCCGCCCAGCCCTCGGCGACCCTGGCTGATGCCAATGGGGTGGCTTTGCGAGTTGAAACACTCATCCTCGGACGGCCCATCCCCCCCCCATCCGGAGGCCTCCACCCGCCCTCACGTGGCTCGCAGTCCTTAGCTCATCGCCAGTCGGTCATGCCGTACGTTTGGCCGCCCGCCAACACGTACTTTGGCCCCCTAATCGCCCTGAGCCGCTCTCAATCGGCAGCGCCGGTATAGCCGGCGTCTTCCTTACTCAAGGATCAGGCCTCAAAAAGAAGGTGATGGTGGAAAATGATGGGAGATGGGCAGGAGCTGCTCGCGTTGGCGGCCCGCGAGTGGTTGCGCTTATTTGGCATGATCCTTTGAGCGGAGGTTGCGGTTAAACTTTGCGGGCACTGACCTGATGGCCCGCTTACGAGGGCGCGGGGCAATCTGGGCCAGATCTTCACCTCGGCTGTCCATGGGGAAGGCCCACACACAGCCGTGCCGTGGCAAAGCGTCGCTCAGGACGCCTGGCCGTGCAGTGCCTGCTGTTGCCAGCTTGTCAACTGCCGACCCTGTGGATGGTTAAGTTTTGCGGTCGTCGATTCGTGGGGCGGTACAGGAGACTGAAGCGTGACCCGTTGGGCCAATCAGCCCCGGGTTACCCTGACAAAGGGGGGTGCGAGGGGGCCCACTACTGGGGTTAAGTACTTGACAGCGAGGGTATATACGGGGGTTAAGTATTGGGCGGGGCGGGCGTGGGGCTGACGGGGACTGGGGGTGGGAGGCAAAGCATCACGCCGAAATCACGCGGCCTCGTGGAGGCCAGCTCCCCGCCGTGATCTGTGACACTCCTCGAATGAGAACCCTCAATCAAGTATTGCCTTGCGCGCCGTCGATGAAGCAAGCGCTGGACCAGCCTTGACGGCCCCCGTCCAGCCAAACCAGCAGCGCTGGTTTGGCTGGACGGGGGCCGTCAAGGCTGGCGCACGTCCCCACCTTCCTCTTCGCCGTCGAAGGGACACAATTGGTTGTTTTACCAGGTGCTGTGAGCCGCTGAGCCTTACGCAACTTTTATGGGAGCGGGGTCCTGACATCACTTGTCCACACCTTGTGATTGATGGCTTGCGACTTTTGGATTGGCGGTGTTGGGCAGCGCTCGGTGGGTATGCGAATTGGCGCGCTGCTTTGGTGGCCCGGGCGGCAATGGCGGAGTGACTTATTGTCGGAGAGGACACTGCCGCAAGTGGGTGAAGGCCGAGGTTAGAAACGGCGACGGGATAAAACCCAACATAGTGCTGCATATATGTGGCGACTTTCCAAGTGCCCCTTTGGAACTGGGTACTTTGCCATTAGAGCTCTATCATGGTCTTGATTATGGTGGTCAATAGTACTGGTTGCGTGCGAGTGAAACGAGTAGAGGTTTGCAGAGCAAAATTGCAATTTTGGCTGACCGCACGCTGCCGACAGCATGCCGCCGACCGCACGCCGCGTAGGCACCGCCCCCTCCCCAGGCTTCCTGGCACCGCGCACCACACGTGGGTGGTGCACGGCGCGGATGCCAACCAGCAGCATGCTGCCCCTCCCTTGGCTTCCTTGCGCCTCGCACGGTGCGCATGCGGCGTGGCGGGCAGCATGGGCGCCGACTGCGCACTCACGCCCATCCCCAGGCTTCCTGTACTGGTACCAGCACGCATGATGTGGGCGCGGCCGCCGTGGGTGCCAACCAACCTCTTGCCAGCTTCCCCCGGGTTTCAGTGCATGCAGCCTACTGGTCTGGGCTTAGGCATAAATAAGGGGGGGAGGGGATTTTGGGATGCCTCTAGTGCCATGTGCCATGTGCGTGTGGTCACCTTTTTGCGTTACATGCATGGTCATTACGCGATTTGTGTAACACCTTGTGGGCCTCCCAAGTCTTGAACTAGCGCGCAGTGCACGGGTGGTGTTATACCATCGGGGACGAAGCAGATGTCATGGGAAGGCAGCCCTTCCAAGGTGGCGCAACTGACAAAGACCTTGTATGTGGTATGTCTTGTCATTACCCTCCCGTGTCGGGATTGGGTAATTTGCATGCTTGCTGTTTTCCTTCCTTTGGTCCAGTACTTTATTCCATCAATATTTTCACACAACCATGTTGTGGAAGCACCCATCTTGGGATGGCTCCCCTAGTTGCTTGACCTCTATCCGGGCAATACTCGCATATCCTTTTGGGGGCGCTTGCGACACGAAGTTGTGTTTGCTCAATAATAAATCACAATAGGTGGTGCATGGTGTGGACGCTGGCTATGCACACGCCGCCCATCCCGGGCTTCTTTGGCTTGCGCATGGGCTGTGATACAGTGCCTCTTTTAAATGGCCCAGATGCATTTAATTGGCGAATTTGGTCGAATCCGGGCTGCTGGGGATGAACAAATATTGAAACAGACAAATTGAACAAATTACATGATGTACATTTAAATATAACGCCCCCGGAGCCTGAATGACTCCCCGTTCATTCCGCTTCGCGCGCCCCGGGAGCAACAACTCCCGTACCAAGCTGCATGTGGTGCAGCGGGCGGCATGGCCGCCGACTAGCCACTCACACCCATTCCCCCTGGCTTTTTGACCAGCTGTTGCGGCCCTGAAGGGCGCCGCTGGTTTCCGAAGCTCGTGGGGTCGCCACGCCCTGCGGCTTGGCTGTTGGAGGTCAGCCAGCCCTCTCCACCGATTTCGGTGGGCGGAAGCGGGGCGCTCGTTCCCTCGGATGCGCGGTGGGCCCAGAACGATGGGGATCGTCCCCCGGGGCCTGCTGTATGCAGCGGGTGGTGGCGCAGCCAGTCGGTGGCTCACTGGTCGCGGAGAGACCAGACAGTGGGCCAGAACGGTTACACGAATTCCCTGCATGCGCGCGCACAAATCCGCATGCGCGATGCCCGTTCGCGGGTCCATCGCTGTCACATCAAGACAAGACAAGACAAGACAAGTGCGCGTCCAGGCACATCGTCACCGTCCACCGTTCACCTAAATCAGCTCCACATAATCCCCGATGCTTCCATCTACCGGTCCGAATCCCATGCTAAAGTACTGCAACTTCAAATGGCCATAACTTCGCCGTTTCTACACGGAATTGGACGTTTCAAGTCGCTATTGGCATCAGGAGCTCCTGAATAAGCTGAGTTCAACATATTTGCACTTTTTTGACCAACCGCCGCTTCAGAAATGTCAATTTTAGCCTAACCCCAAGCAGCCACGTCACACCAGCGCCTGGCGCGCGGCATGGCCGCCGACCGCCCACTCACAATCCATCCCCCTAGGGCTTTCCTGACTGGCGCACGGTGGCTGTGAGCTAGGCGGCACTTGAGCGAGTGGTTGGTGGTGCAATTGCCATCGCCCACCGCCATGGCTCGCGTCGCATCTAGGAGGGCGATGTGTTGTGTAAACTACTAGGGGGTAGCCGGTTTACACAAGTTAGATACTAGGAAATGATAATAGATATGAGATTGTACCTAAAAGGGATAGAGGAAGCTATTAGCTTTCCGTAGGTCTTTGAATCATCCCAAACGGGTTAGCGGTAGTGGAGTTATAGCTGATAGAAGTTCCAGTACTTACGGTTGGGCCCTACCGTACTCGGGGATGAGATACTATCGATACGGGTATATTCGATACATTGTTCTGTCAGTTGTGTACCGCTGCATTCGGGGGTCATGTGACCGACCCCGTACGTCAGCTTGTAATTCCATTCGTGCCTACTCTCGCCTCCCAGCAGCTGCACCCGCAGGCCGCAAGGCGCCGCGCGCACACACTGTGCGTACGGCCACCCCGCGCCCGGCCAATCCGCAGGCCTGGGCCCACACTGCGCATCCAAATAGATGAGCGCCCCGCAAAGCTCGCCGGCCATCTGGCAGAGGGGGCCCCGCGGCCTCATCGGGCGCCTCGGCAAGCGCATCGCCCGCGAACACACCGAAAACCACGCCACAATGGGTGAGGGATGGAGGGGTCGGTGGGCAACCAATACGGAAAAATTTATTCAAGGCAATTGATGCAACTAGTCACTGGATGCGATGTTCATTTTGAGCAAGCTAGGTAGCCACTTTGAGGTGCGTTTTGGTGCCTCTTGGCTATAGATTAGAATGAGTGGCAATTTGCAACAGTGGGTTGGTTTGGTGCATGTTCAAATTTAAAAATTGCATCCACAGCGATTGACCCAATGAGTTAATTGCTGTGATCCCTCATTTCAAACAGGCTGGGCAACCTTGTTGTAATGCTTTGAGGTGCCTGCTTGGCTGCCAATTGGAGGCGAGTGGCATGGGGGATGAGCTGGGGGGGGAGGGTCAAGTTTGAAAATTATAGCGATCGGCCTGACGGGTCGATTGCCTTTCACTTGAGAAAAATGTGCTAACATCCTTATGGTGAGTGCCTTGGAGTGCAACTTTGGCACTCACTCTTTATTATGGTCCAGGCCATGAGGCCTAGTGGGAGCAGCCAAGTATGGCAAAAAGAGTATAAATACCCATGGGAGAACTCCAATACAAGGGTGTTGATGATGGTACGGGAGTTGTTGCTCCTGGGGCGCATGAAGCGGAATGAGCTGGGAGTCATTCAGGCTCCCGGGGTGTTAAATTTAAATGTGCACTATATAATTTGTCCAATTTATCCGTTTCAATGTTTGTTCGTCCCCGGCAACCCGGATTCGCCCTTATTCGCCAATTAAATACATATAAGCTATCGAAAAGTGGCAATGTATCATATCTCCCCCCCCATTGAGTGTGGACATCCTCAGCCACTAGACAAGCAATAACAAAACCTAGTAGAACAGAAGCACAACATACCAATAGAATTCCACCAGAGACTGCATTCATTGTGTCCCATACCACAACCCAATCTACAACGAAATCCTATTATCCAAAATCTATGCGGTCCATCACTTCCGTTGGCGGCTTTGCCTTGTCTTCTAGATTGCCTCTTGTCGCTGCAAT